TCCCTGTTGGGGCTGTATTAAAAATGATCATTCTTTTAACCCTTATCAGGTTTTCTTGCAACAAAAATGTAACATTGTAGCCGACAAGGACCCAGTAAAGGGGATTACAAGGGTTCCTGTAGAAGGTCTCTATAAGGATTACTTTAGCGGTTCCTTGATATAAGGGCTCTCTCTAAAGGATTATAAGGGTTCTTCTCGAAGGGCTCTATCAGGGTACGGTACGGGCTTAGGGCACCAGGGGGGTGGGAGATTTGAATTCGGGTTTGGGGATTTCGGGCTGTGGAGCTTTGGAGCTTTCAATTCTTGTCCGATTCCGAGAGACATCGTTCGCAATCTTCACCCAGTCCAGGCACAGCTCATCCTGGGTTTCAGCTTTGTGGCTCAAGCTTCAAACGGGCTTGAGGGTGCCCGAAACCCTAAACCCTAAACCCCCCCTGAGCCCCGAATCCGAAATATTTTTCCGCGAGCCCCTCCCCACCGCCGTCTCCGTGCCTCCTAAGGACCTTCATGACAAACAGGATCTTAAAAGGTTTAGGGTTTTAGGGTCCAGGATTTTAGGGTTTTAGGGTTTAGGGTTTTAGGGTTTTAGGGTTTAGGGTTTAGGGTTTAGGGGTTTTAGGGCTTAGGTTTAAATTTATTTTCACTACCCAGTCTGTAGCTGTGTATAGTCACCACCAGGCAGAAACGCAAAAGAAGTGCAACAGCAACTGAAATCCGATTGTGGTGACGCTGATGGTGAAACGAAAGACAGAATCCTCAACATCATCATCATCATCATCAACTTCATCTTTACTATCACCACAGACCATCGGCGAAAAAAGCGTGTGGGCAGCATTCTCGAGACTGTCGACTGTTGGGGGTTTACTGCTTTGGGCTGAACGTTTCGAGGTTATGGTGGGCGATCGGATAACCTGGAGGAAGCCGCAAAGGATGTGTAGGCCTTTAGTGCATCGACGCCTTCGAATGTTCAGTGCTGCCGCGAAGTCTCAAATCTCAGGCCATCAACTTCTTAGCTCATGTTTGCCAGGCCATTTCACGATGTCTTTTCGTCACTTGATTCGGCAATATTTTCCGAAATGTTGGACTCGCTGCTGCTACTGCTACAGGAGAGAATGCCAAGCATCATCCCCTGAATTGTAGACACAGATGTCCAACGGATGCTGCGGCGCTTCGAAGGTGTAGACAAAGGACTCTTCCTTACCCGCCTGGAAGTCCTCGATATTGCTTCGGGGCTTGGGCTTGGACTAAAGTTCAGGGTGCTAACAAGCCAGCCAAAGGTAAGCAAAACATAGCAGGAACGTGGAGAGTGAGAGAAGATAAGAGCAGGTACGGTGACCCTAATCATGGTCATCATTATTGCATGCCAAAACATTCTGAACAAGTCATAGCATCGTTCTTTGATGTGCTGAGATACTGTGACACACCCCGACCGCCGCTATACGTCAGCCACGCGTAGATGTCTGAGTCTGTTCCACAGTTACCATCCTCACCGACTTTGAAAGTCAACTGGAACTTTGTGCCGACGTCCGCCTTTGTGCAGCACATGGTGTTGTCCAACGCCGGGGTGCATGTCGAAAGCTGGCAATGGAGATCCCCGGCATCCTCCTTGATGATATAGCCAGTGGAACATGCATTGGTGTTACAGTACCTGGGGAGCTCAGAAAAAAACCCTAAACCCTAAACAACCCTAAACCTTCATGTGAAATAGCCAGACCTGCACTGCGAAGATCCGTCAGCGGGGCTCCTCTTCCAAAAGCCAAAACAAAAACAGGCAGCTTTAACCTCGGGCCTTTCGGAAAGGATCGTAAACCCCTGAACCCTAAAACCCTAAACCCCTGAAACCCTAAACCCTAAAACCCCTAAAACCCTAGCAAAGCGCCCTTCAAGAGGACGGCAGAAGATGGCTTTCTCCAGCCGTGGGGCATTCAACACAAGGACATGGAAAAGCTTAATACTGTTGATGATACAAATCCTTAGCATTACCTTAAGGACCCTAAAGTATGGGAACTCTGATATATTCCTTATTATGGGTAATGCAGGATTTATATCATCAACCGTAGTGTTTTGGTGCTACACTATAGAATAGTGTAGGGACTTAGAGACTCTACGAATCGGTATTCGGTCCTGCAGTCACTACTAACCAAGCCCAAAACCCGCAGCATCCAAGCTGCGATCTCTGTGTTCGGCTGCAGCACCCCTCACAGTCGGTCTTGCCATTTTCGGGGCAGTCGACACCGTCGGTACCTTGGCATAGGGGCCTTAATAATTAGAATAGGGTTTTTGGGGCCCATTATACTATAATTATAATAAGGAGCCCCCAAAATAGTATTGGTAATTATTTAGGCCCCTACCTTAGCTGAAAGCTGGCCGTGTCGTCTCAAGCTCGAAGCGTCGCCCCCCGCAACCGCTGGATTGCACAACCACCTGACCCCGAAAAATAGAACCGAACCACCTTTAAAAGGATTTCTCTCGGCCTTCTTCCTCTTCTGAACCTAAACTCTAAACTCTAAACCCTAAACCCTAAACCCTAAACCTTAAACCCTAAACCCTAAACCCTAAACCTAAACCCTAACCCTAACCCTAAACCCTCATTCCCAGCACTGCCCGAAATCGGCCGAGCCTTCGTCTCAAGGCGCTTAGGTCTGGAGGGTCTCCGCGCTGAGGTGAAGAACTGAAGGTACTCTACAGGTTTACTGCTGATGGTAGAAATCCTGCAAGGGTTTAGGGTTTGGGTTTTGGGGTTTAGGGTTTAGGGTTTAGGGTTTAGGGTTTAGGGGTTTAGGGGTTTAGGCGGTTGATGATAGAAATCCTTAGCATTACCTTATAAGGACCCTAAACTATGGGATTTATGGTATATTCCTTCTTATGGGTAATGCAGGATTTATATCAGCAACTGTAGGTCCCCCCAAACCCCAAACCCTAAATCCCTGAACCCTACACCCGAAGGGTTTGGGGTTTTGGGTTTAGGGTTTAGGGTTTAGGGTTTAGGGTTTAGAGTTTAGGGTTTAGGGTTTAGGGGATTTTTTTTGAGGCTGAGCCTGTCAAGTCTCAGTTCCAAGGCGGCCAAGGAACCATGCTGCCGCATGTTCCCGACGGTGCAATAGCACTGCTTGGGCAGGCACCTCAAGAGTTGGGGATTTTAGGGTTTAGGGTTTAGGGTTTTTTACGTAGGAGCCTTCCTGAATAATTAGAATAGGGCTTTGGCGGGGTTCCTTATGATAACTACAGTATGATATACACCAAGACCCTATTCTAATTATTAAGGCGCCCTTACATTACGGTTTCGGGTTGAGGTCCAAGAGTCTTGGTTATGCATTCAGGGTTGAGGGTTCGGGGTTCAGGATTAGTGATTAGGGTTTAGGAAAGTTTGGGGTTTAAGGCTTAGGGTTTAGGGTTGGGGGCTCAGGGTGTAGGGTTTGGGGTGTCTTGGAGCCCCTGGAGCGAGGAATGCACTCGCGAGATCTGCATGAAAGGCTGCGAGAAGCCGCAAACTCCCCAAACCACCAGCCGAGTAGAAAAACCTCAACCGCCTAACTAGTTCGACGAGAGTCCTAGTCCCTAAACCCTGAACCTTCTAGGGCTACAGAGATCCAACCCCACCATGAATCGTCAGATCTCAGCCGTGGCGCTCGCCTGTGGGCGTGTAGTAGAAACCCGGATGTTCGGCCTCATAGTCGGTTCCACAAATCGATGGATACGGCTGATGATATAATTCCTGCACTACCCATAATAAGGAATATACCATAATTCTCATAGTTTAGGGTCCTTGAGGTCATGCAGGATTTATGTCACCTACAGTAGTTCGAATAGAAACCATGATGCAGATACAGACATGGATAAAAAGCGATAGATAGACGGCAGCAGGCAAATGTGGCCATGGAGGCAGGGAATTTTCAGAGACCCCACGGCTTTTGGATGTTGTCGGGTGTGCTTGAAATCATGGGCGACGCCTGCTGCTTGATGGCAGTCTGGCCACTTTTCTTGAGCGGGGCGGGCGACCTTTAAGGGGATTTTCAAATTTGTAAATGAAGGACCCTAACATGCAGGATGTTGGAATACCTGGGTCCGGAAAGCTTGGGCTGAGCATAAAGCTACGAAAGTTTTGAAAGAGGCTCCGGCACATCCCGACGATAAGCCTAAGCCTATACTCGAAAGTCCCTGAACCTTAAGCTCTGAAACCCTACACCCCTTGAGCCCAAAACACACACGCAAACACAGCCTTACACCGTGAACCCTGTTCAATGGCTTGCAGCCCTTACAAGAATGCTACACTAAAACTCAAAGCTTCCACATCCTTCAACCCTGCCACGATCGCCACATTCCTGATGCACGAGCTTAAGACCCTAAACCCTAACCCCAAACCCTAAACCCTAAACCCTAACCCCAAACCTTAGACCGTAAGCCCTAAACTAAACCCCTAAATCCGATGCTGCCCACACCTCGCACGTGTTCGCCGCTTGTTGCCTTGGCCATGCAAAAGACAACAGCGCTTGGCATTACGGTTCATGATTCGGTTTAGGGTTTAGGGTTGATTCATGTCGGTTATGCATCTGGGAAAAAGATGCAAACATACAGGATGGGCAAAAGCCTGCTCCTGCAAACCTACCCCTATACAGTCTTGCTGTTTCATGTGTTGCACAAGCCCGAATCGGACCTCAGCTTTGAAACCCTCCAGGTTTCAAATCTTCCAAAAAGGTGGGCCCCTAACCTAACCCTCCAAACCCTACTCCCTTGACCTTCAAGATGCAGGGGCTTAGGATTTGAGGCCAAACACGCAACCCTAAGCCCTAAGCGATGGCAACCCCAAAGTGTGGAGGCCAAGCCATCGACAAGGCACTTCTTCCAGATCGACGCGTTATGTGCATACCTGAGTCGAGACCAGGCAGGTAAGAAGGATAATGTAGAAATTTATCAAGGTTTTTTCTACGGTGTTATAACTCTAAACCCTAAACCCTTAGTACACTTGTTAGACAGCGGCCTCGGGGAAGCTGTATGGGGCTCCTACATCAGCAGCCCGCTTGACTGTTTCTTCGGGCCGCGCCTGTGTGCACTATTGGCCTGTCTTGCTGCCTTCCTCCGTTGTCTTCGGCGTGGCCTTGGGCCATACATATCATATCCTCTTCGGTCCGTGCCTTATGCTGCTATGAGCCTGTCGTGCTGCGGCGTGCCTCCCTTGTTCTCGGCAAGGCCTTTTGCCGCTTCTTTCTTCTCTCACTCCTTTTTCGGGCCGCGCCTCTGCGCGCTATTGGCCAGCCCTCGCGTTCCTGCTTTCTCATTCTCCTCGGCGCAGGCTTTGGCCATGAATATCTTCTCCTTCTTTGGGCCGTGCCACTGTGCGCTATTGGCGTGTCCTGTTGTTCTCCTCTTTTGTCCTCGACGTGGCCGCTTTGGCCGCTTCTCCAACCTCGTGCTACTTCTCGGGCCGCGCCTCTGTGGCGCTTTTGGCCTGTCGTGCTTCTTTTTATGGGGCCGGGCACGCCTTCAGCATTATTGGCCAGTCCTGCTGCCTTCATGCTTTGTCCTCGGCGTGGCCTTTGGCCGTTTCTCCGTGTTCCTCCTTATAACTACTTGGGCCGCGCCTCCGCGTGCTTTTTGCCCGTCGTGATGCGTTCCTGCTTTCTCTCCTTCTTTGGGCCGCCTCTCTGTGTGCTGTTGGCCAGTCCTGCTGCTTTCTTCTTTTGTCCTCGGCGTGGCCTTTTTGCCGGTACTCCTACCTCTCGCTGCTTCCTCGGGCCGCGCCTCTGTGCGCTAAAGGCCTTTCGTGCTGCCTGCCTGCTGTGGCTTCGGCGTGGCCTCTGGCCGTGCATCTCAATACCGCTTTTTGGGGCCGTGCCTTCATGTGCTATTGGCCAGTCCTGCTACCTTCCTCGTTTGCCCTCGGCATGGCCTTTTTTCAGAGCTCCCCGGTGCTGCGGCTTGGGCGGTATAAGACGTGTTGTTGTTTTCATGTACGCTGATTCGGGGCACTTCGGGGCTGCAGACGTCGCACCCATCGTTGACGCTTTCGGCGGTTTTCTGGGTGCCTGCTGTCCTTCGCCCGCCTTTTGTCCTCCTAGCCGGCGTTGGTGGCGATATGCCAGTCTCTCCTCGGCCTGGCCCCGAGCGCCGGCCGCCTACTGCCCGATTGCATTCCTTCAGCAATGCTTCTCCCCTTGCAAAATTCTCGTCTACACGTGCGGCGGCTTTTCTGGCTACCTGCCAGCCGCCTTCTGCCTGGCCCTTTCTCCTAAACTCCTGCTCCTTCACTCGCGTTTGCGGCCGGGCGGCGGCTTTTCTAGCTCCTTGCGGCCGGGCGGCGGCTTTTCTGGC